TGGATCGAGGCTTCTGATCCTCAAAAACCCGCAGGTGAGGATCTGGATCGAGCTGCGGATGATCCGCGTTCAGCCCTAGTCCAGCTCAGTTGACAACCTCGTTGAGTGTGGGTGCTTGCAATGAGGGTACACAGATGTGTTGTGTACCCTCATTGTTACGTGACCAAACTCAATTACGCCACAACATCAATGCGTCCACTCTAAGCTCAATCCTCTCAATCAGGGTACACAGAGGTGCTGCATACCCTGATGTTATGTGACAGGACTTGTGTTCCGGAAACGCAACCTGACTGCGTACCCGGAGACATCTTCGAAAAAGCACGCCCTAAGGCCCCCCTAACCCTGATCCCCCACCACTTTGACCCTCTTAAATCTCTCTCCCTAACCCACACCTGCCACCGAAATGTCAAGCAGGCGGGTGGTGTTGTCAAGCTCATTGTTCAAATGTCGTCCTTTCACCCTCCCATGTCACTGATGACCCCATGCTCATTGTGCGAGCCTTGCCGCACAGCGCTCTACACCCCTGTTGCAGTGCCATGCTATCACGCAGACAGTCCTCCAGGAGGACCGCCCCTGTGGTGGGGGGGCCTGTGGCTGTGCCAGCGCCACCCACCCTATCCCTGTCTGCCGCGGGCCTCCCGGAGTGCCCTGTATAGTACTGGTGTAGTTGTTGTCTTATAGTCTACTTGTACTATAGTAACTACAAGTGCTACTACATATATTGCTATATTGCTAGTGGGAGTATGCAGGGTGATGGCATCTATGACAGTGGATTAAACCCTAGGGTAGGGTTTAGCCGACCCTAGGGTCCGCCCACCAAAATCCCAGAAAACTCTTGCATAACCCTATGCCAAAATTGCTCTTGTCCGAGTGGTACAAGCCTCTGCTGTCGCTTTTCAAAATCTTCGCACGATTGCTTTGGTACGACTCTGCCTATCTGGTTCTGACAGCGGGACGACCTCAACTATGTGGCGCGCACGAGTCAAGCCTGCACGGACGCGACCGCAATCGACTGCACCCAAGAAGAACCAAATGCGCCCGCCGGGGATCCTATGGCAGACATTTGCGTCTGGTTAGAGCTGGATTGCACCGTGTATTTTTCCGAGCCCATACGAATGAATACAGTTATATCACGAGTTCTATCCAATTGCGTGCTTGCTATGGATACCGCCCCCTAGCTGATGAGCCCGAACGTGGCCGACGGTAAACGATCGCTGTCGACCCAAATCGAACTGTATTGCGATTCATTCGGGTCGTGAGTCTACCTCATACCGCTGAATACGACGACCGTCGCAAATAGTCCGGATTTCGTATTGTGTCGGATTGCACGACTACATACAATCAGATTCGACCTAAATCGACATGAATCGCGCACGTTCTCACTGGGGATCACGAGCGACGATGGCTCCGCGCGGTCATAGCTACTCGTCGAGTGAGGCCGACACGGGCGCTTATAGGATCTCTTGTTTGCCGTGGTCAGCGGCTCAGAATTTCAACTTGATCTCGAACCACGACTATGCCTGACGTCGACTACATATTCTTCTATCCTCATCCCGACGGTGCCTACGACATCGTCGTAACCGTTGCCGCTGCCGATACCTTCCGCTTGAGCCATTTGTGGAAACTGGCCAGGGAACAGGAACCGAGTGTCGCTAGCCACCTTGGCGCAGCAAAATGCACGTTCTACGTTGTACGTCCATCGTTTTGGTCCGCCCCAAGCGGTCGTTTTTTATCCCCCGCTCCCGTAGCCCTCAGATTTGTTGATCGAGCCGGACACCACATTGCTCTCTCGCAGCCGACAATGGCTTCTGCAGCACCGTCAGGACGAGGACAAGGTGGTCAGACTTATCAAAGAGGTCCGTACAATCTTCCCTGATGGCCCATCTCCCGACTTGGTGCATTTTCTTGTTGTCACGGAAGAAGGTAAGCCCGCTGCGTGGGTATTATCGCCGTCCGCCTCACACGTGCTCTAGTCCTAGAGAGTCTGGATGAACTGGGTACCCTCCAGGACCAGGCGCTCAGAGGTACGTCCGCCATTTGCGTGTCGACTCTAGTCCTCGTGTTGAAAATACCTCACCAGAGCGTGAAAAGCGCACTGAGTCAATTCGGAACGATGTTCCCCGGCCCTCTGCTGGTGTCTCGGATTTTGCGGGCGTGCAAAACGTTGTTGTCAAAAATGCCGACAAGTTTCATGCTGGGCGACCTGCCGGAAACTATGGTCCCCCTGCTTCCCTCTTCAACCATGTTTTGGGCCGGTTTGACTATCATCTGCGCCACCTGGACGATGACATCCCTGAGATCGATCCTCCTCCGGCACTCATCCGACTGGTGCATTCACTCATGGCAGCCGGGGCGCACAGCTATCCAGTGGAGGATGCCCGAGTGGAGGCTATCAAGACTTCGCTCAGCGAGATTTTCGCTAAGGAGCTGCATTGGGAACCTTCCAAAACGCTTTACGGCGTTGCCCCAGATGCTATCAGTGTGGACGACCCGCCTTTCGTTGTGGTGGAGGTGAAGAACGAGGTTGGTCTCAAAGGTGACGCCTCCCTACAAGCAGGACTATCGTACACGCACATCGCAACTGCACCTCAGTTCAAGGTTCGATCGTTCTACTATCTCCGTCATTGTCATGAGTCTGTATTGATGTGAAGCGTAGGCGTTAAGGAGACGATCGAACTATCCTGCCATCCTTTGTGGTATCATGGGCAACCTGCTTGAAATCGGGGTTGCGATATATACCGACGGGACTTACTACAATTTGCTGTTGTCTGAGCGTCTGCACTTGGGATTCCACTCTGCAAAGAACGTCCTCCGTCTTTCTCGAGCATTCGCGGCCACTCGAAGCGCCATGTCTCACCTCACAGCGTTCTACAAACAACTCAACGCCGCCCCACCTCCCCAAGGTAGTATCGCTCATCTGTTCCCCTCGCCCTTTCAGATCCCTTCCTACACTGATTTCGTACCGGCCCTCACCTTTACGCACCGGCTGACACCATCAGGCGAGGCAGTTTTATTGGCCAAAACCGAAAGAGAACGACAGTCGGGCATTTACCTCGCCACCATGCCTCGGATGTCTTCAAACGTCGGTGAGGATCGGATGGTGTCCTCTTCGTCTCTTGACGCACCTGCCGATAGCGTCGAGGTAGTCGTGAAGTTCACCGAGCGATATCATCCCGACGCGCACAAACTGCTTGCGGCCGAGCACCTAGCGCCAGCGCTGCACGCCTGTGTCCCGGTATACGGCGACTTATTCATGGTCGTGATGGACCGCGTCCACGGCACGATAGCCTGGGAATCGGCCACGCGGAACGAGCTCCTGCCACATCGCATCTACGAGGATGTCCGGCGTGCCATTGCGCTGCTCCACTCGCACGACCTCGTCTTCGGCGACCTCCGTACCCCGAACATCATGGTTGTCCCTGGTGGATCTGGCCCTGACGACGGACCTCGGGGTATGCTTATCGACTTTGACTGGGTCGGAACGCATGGTCGTAGTAGATATCCCGCTTCTTTGGACGAGGGTCTTCCGGACTGGGGGACAAGCGGTATCCAGCGACACGGGATCATGGACAAGGCACACGATAACGCGATGTTAGATCGGTTTGAGAAGCAATGCCATCCGGCCGGTGTACCAGTATAATACATTATCGCCACCCTTCCTATTGTAGCTCATCGTCGTTTTGTCCACGCGAATCAATGGCATGTTGAAATTGCAAGCCATGGACGATACATTCCGTCGACCTCCGCACTGTACGTAGCAACCTGCCATCAAGAAGAGTGCGGTAGCCATGAATCGACGCTGTTCAATACAATAGCGCATAGTCAACTGAAGCCGTCATCTGTGTACTCGGCCAAATAAGCGTGCTCGGGACCGTCTTCCATATTGAGTTCTGACCTTCATCCTTAAGGCTATTCCCGACTTGGGGCGACAGAGGTGGTGGACACCTGCACTATCCAGCGCGCGATGGGGCGGATACGGGATCGTAATGAGTGGGCAGTAATTGACCGTAGTGGCGAGCTCTCGCGTGCATTGTATATGGAGGAACCGGACGAGCCAGAATCTTCGTAGTCGCCTAAATATTGTCTGCTACCACACGATCTGCTGTCCCATCTCCGTCGCCTAACGCCAATATACGTGGGATAGTAGAGCGTAACATGTGGTCGGTAAGATTGGGACAGCGAGCTCACGCGTCGCGCGACTGAGACTGACTGGGCAAGCAGTGGCGACTTGGACAAGACTCAGCAGAGACGCTCGACGACACATCTGACCACTGTAGACACCAACCCCTCGTCTGGCTGCATTACGTATCTCTTCAATACATCAGTGCAAGACTACATCAAGAACCCGCCAACACATACACCACCGGACCTCACTCTGACTGTTGGGCATTATCTATTCTGGATCTTCGTACGAGGCTCATGACTGAGCTGAGGGGCACGCTGCAAATAGACTCTAAACCGAGTAAGGGGACCATCCATACCGTCTCTGAGGATGATTGTACGACTGGTGGATAGCCAGGGAGGGTGTAAGCGTCATAGACGACGGCAGAAGCCGGAGGAAGCCTTCAGGGAGGGTGCGGAATGTACGGATTGTAGTTGAGTTGAGGCGATGCCGCAGACGAGGATGGGAAGGTGAGTATGAGGGTCGTCGAAGTTGTTCACTGCCGAAGACAGCGTTTGGGTGTCGCAGTGAGAGAGTACAGCGACTCAAAATAAGATGGTGACAACATGCTAGAGATACAGACGAGAGAGGTGTGAACTAGATCTTGTCACGGTCCGGTTTCCTCTCATTCGCTAGGAGAAGGGGGTGAGCGCGGGGGCAGGAGGCGAGAAGAGGACGACGCACGATTGTAATGGAGGAGCTTCTCTATGAGGTCGACATGTGTGAGGACCATGCGGCGACAACAGTAGCGCTTGAGCTGGAGTTGGTCAAGCGCATCACTGGGGGCATAGGCAGAGCGGTTGGACGGAGGTCGTGATGAACGGAATGCAAGGCTCACCCCTCGCTGATATCCTTGGCCAATAGATCCAGATACGCAGTCCACTTGTCGCCCACCACCTTTCCGCAGGAGAAGCAGCGTACAGGGATAATCTACGGCAGGAGGGAGTAAGCAGGCAGCAGGTGTAGCGGAGACGGGAGACCGACCATCGTCGTCGTCGCAAGCCAAGCTTGCTGCCCCACAGACGCCCGCCCCGCAAATTGTGGCGAGCCGCCCGTGACCCAGCCGTGACACACGCGCTGTGACAGACGCGACCGCGGGTTGAACGCGTTCGATCCCACCGCCACCCGTCACCCGCCCCCGCTCCCCGTCCCCCGCTCCCTCCCCGACGCCGCCCCCCGCCCCCGCCGTCCCACACGATGGAATCATTTGACCTCACCGAAGAGCTACAGGCCATCACCGACCTCCCCACTTACTCTTTCAACAACGAGGTCGACGTCTCCTCTCTCGACCACTCCGCCATTGCTCAAGTCCTCGACCCCGCCGTCGACGCTCTTGCCCACTCCTCAGAATCCATCGTCGACCCTTCTGTTTTTGATGCCTACCGTTCTCTGCTCAAGCACGCCTCTGCCCTCCAGGGCGTCCACATGACCAAGATACTTGACTCCCTGTCTTCCGCCTACCAGGCCGAGGTCGAAGCCACCTCCCGCGACATCGACGTCGAAGACCAGCAGACCTTCATGGCACATAAGGTCCCACTAGAGATTTATGCCTTCCTCCTCCATTGGTTTGTTAGCGTTGCCGAGAAAGTCAAGACCTCTGGCGAAGACGATGCCCCCGCTCCCGCTCCTAAACCCAAGCGCGGACGTGGTGGAAAGCCTGCCACCTCTCGCTCTACAGCGCGTAAGGCTGCTGAGGAGTGGACTTGGAGCGTCCAAATACCTGCAACACTTGCGCTCATCAACAAAGTCCTCCGGTTGAAGACCCAGAAGATCTGGCAGACGGCCGGAGAACGAGAGGCCTTCATCAAGTAAGTCGTGTCTCTTCCTTATCATCCCTCTTTTTCAGACTTGCTCGCTGGTACGAGTCAGCGCCGACTGGCGCATTGATTCACTGCAGTCTCTTGACACCGGTATGGACGCCGCTCTGAGGCAAGGTGGCCTGCGAGGCCGTCGCAGCACCAACGAGACCCAAGCTGTACTGGTGTCCTGCTTCCTTGCCCCGGTCGTTGTTATCTTCTTGTGGTTTACTGCCGTCGTCTCCATTGCTGATCTCTTCTAGCTGCGTTCTCCGACCCGTATATCACATCACCGAGAACGAGCAATACATGAAACAACAACAAATCCGGTTCGGAGTCTACAAGGCCATCTGTCTCGCCGTCAAGCACCACGCTCATGGCCTCGCGGCCCAGATCTCTATCATGCAGTCGCTCCAGTATTACGAGCACCTGTCCGAGTACATGGCTGAATGTCTCGACGTCCTCGCGCGCGAATTCGACCACTCTCAGATGGGCGACGAGATCCTCCGCGAGATCGCCAACAAGAACTTCAGCGGCCAGGATTCCAAGGGCCCGCGCGCCTTCTCGCGCTTTCTCATCCGCTTCGCCGAACTCGCGCCCCGACAGGTCCTCAAGCAACTCAGTCTGCTGCTCTCGCAGCTCGATTCGGAGGTATGCCTATCGTCCGTCGTGCCTGCCATGAAACATTGATCGTTCACGCTCCACGCATAGTCCTACCCAATGCGCATGGCCCTCGTCGAGGTCATCGGGTCCATCATCCACGAGCTTGCGGAGACCCCGGAGGACGAGTCGGATTCGTCCAGCAAGTCCAAACACCTGAAGCAGATCAACGGTCTCTACGATCTCCTGATCGAGCGCATGATGGACGTCTCGTCTTATGTCCGCGTCAAAGTCCTCGCGACGCTCGCGAAGCTCTGCGACGGTAGCCACAAGTTCCCGCAGCAGCGTTTGGCGATAACGCGCGCGGCCGTCGAGGCGCTGGAGGACAAGACTGCCAGCGTTCGTAAGTCCGCGGTGAGCTTGCTCGTCCGGCTCATCTTGACGCATCCCTATGGGATGTATGGCGGATTGCTGAGCGAGACCGAGTGGAAGGTTCAGTACAAAGAGGTGTCTGATATGCTCGAGAAGATGGAGGGTAACTTGGGGAAGGCGGTCGAGCGCAACGATGAAGAGGAGAGCCAAGCTGAGGATGAGCATGACGAAGATGAAGACGACGAGGAAGGGGAGGACGGGGAAGAGGATAAGAGGAAGAAGAAGCGGAAGGCGTAAGTTTCAGGCCGCATAACCGCGATGAGCTGTTCGGTACTAACGTTCATATAGGAAGCGCAAAGGCGATGAATCAATGGAAGTCGATGAGGAGGAAGATGACGATACAGAGGACGTAGAAGACGATGAGGATGTCCAGATGCGCCACGGCTCCAATGCCGAGTCCGACGCTCCGAAACCGCGCAAGAAGAGTAAGAAGAAGCCCCGAAAATCGGAACTCGATCTCAATGCACTCGCAAACGAAGCGGCGGCGCTCGGCTCACTCAACGAGAACCAGCACCTCGAACAGAAGCTGCGGAAGAAGTATTGCCTGGACGCACTCGAGTTCATCCGCCAGGTCGAGGAGGGAATGCAGACCATCCAGCGTCTGCTCGCGTCGGCCAACAAGCTCGAGCAACTTGAAGCCATCGAGTTCTTCCGCGTCACGTACGAGTACAAGTTCGATGCAGCCCACGAAGGGATCAAGAAGATGCTCCATCTCGTCTGGACCAAAGACAACAACGCCACTGGCGAGGACGGCAAGGAGGTCAAGAGCGTCCGCTCGCGAGTGCTTGAGTGCTATCGCAACATGTACTTTGAGCCAGTCGATGGTCTGGACGCCAAGCAACAGACCAATCGTATCGCAAAGAACATGATTGAGTATGTCGTTCAGGAATCTCGCTGTCCACTGCTCTTAACGCACTCTTTGGTAGGATGACCTACGACGCCACGCTCGCTGAGCTCACTAGTCTTGAGGAGATGATGCGACAGTACATGGACGACAACTTCATCCCTGATGAGGTTGTCGCAAAGCTATGGCAGGTGTATAGTGAGTCCAGAACTTCTATCGGGACTATCTATTCTGGCTGTCACTCACCCATTGCGCCTAGGTTCCGACAGGCCACTACCAAGGGCTCAACGAAGAGGGGCGGTGATCATCTTAGGTATGCTCGCCCTCGCGAAGCGGCAGGTCGTCGCCGATCGCGTCGAGACATTGGTGAAAGTGGGACTTGGCGAACGTGGCAAGGTGAGACCCAGAAGATCCCCGCGCAGATCTATACTGACAGTAGCTTCAGAACGATCTGACTCTCGCTCGCTACACCTGTGTAGCTCTGCAGCGTCTCAATGGAAGCGCCAAGAAAGTGAAGGGTGAGCTCCCAGGCCTTTGCCGCATTTTCTTTCGACCTGTGAGCTGACGACTGCGGACGCAGGCTCGCTCCTCGACAAGACCCTTCGCCTTGACATGGAGAACCCCCTATTCCGGAAGCTTCAAGATGCAATTGAGCGTCCATGCCGATCGAAGGAATGGTTCCCTATGGCTGAACAAGCGATCAATACCATCTACGCGCTTGGAGAACGTCCAGACCTTCTCTGCGGAAAGCTGATTAAGAACCTCACGCGTCGCGCGTTTGGCCGCAAGTCCGCCACCTCGGCCAGCTCGCAGCAGGACCAGAACGTCATGGACCAAGACGAAGAGGATGTAGATCCTGACGCTCCGCATCAGGCGCAGTCGCAAAAAGACGACGCCAAGGACGCTGGTGACGCTTTTGAGCTCAGCCAGCTGTTCTTCATCGTCGGCCATGTTGCAATCAAGCAGATTGTCTTCCTTGAACTAGTCGAGCGCGAATGGAAACGTCAGAAGCACGAGAAAGAGATGGGTACGTATCTTCACAATACTCGTTTTTCTTCACGCATGAACTAATCAAGTTCGACCCCAGCCGAGAAGATCGGTGGAGCGGCTGCAAAGTCTAAGGAGCAGGAGGAACTCGACCAGGTCGCCGGCAACGCCGAGGACGAGATTGGTGAGCGGGTCCAAGGCATGAGGGAGCATGAGCTACTCTACGGCCCTCAGTCTCTCCTCGCCACCTTCGGCCCGATGCTTGTCCATATCGTAGGCACTCCAAAGAAGTTCAAGGTAAGCGTACGTTCTGCTCGTGATCAAAAACCCCGGCCTTCAATATGTCTGCGACAGAACCGGACCCTTCGCGCGACTGCAACGCTGGCGTTCAGCAAATTCCTCTGTGTCAGTTCACAATTCTGTGAACAGCACCATCGATTGTTGTTCAAAGTCCTGGAGACGTCGAATGACCCGGGCATCCGCAGCAACATAGTCATCGCTCTTGGCGACGTCGCCGTTTCATACAGCAGCATCATCGACGAGAGCAACGATGAGCTCTACCGGGGCCTTGGCGACTCAGATATGGTCGTCAAAAAGAACACGCTGATGGTCTTGACGCATCTGATCCTCAACGGGATGGTGAAGGTGAAGGGTCAAATGGGCGAGATGGCCAAGTGCGTCGAAGACGAGGACGAGCGAATCTCGAACCTTGCGAAGCTGTTCTTCAAGGAGCTGTCGACAAAGGACAATGCGATCTACAACAATCTGCCTGACGGTACGACTGCTTTCTCGCCCCTTACACGTTTCGTGGACTCACAGTCGCCGATCGCAGTCATTAGTCACCTGTCGGTTGGTGCCCACGCTATCGATGAAGAAAAGTTCCAGAACACGATGAAATTTATCTTCGGGTATATCGAGAAGGTGCGTCTGAAAACCATACAACACATCATCGTCTCACAAGACGTCGTTAATCAAGGAGAGACAAGCCGAGAACATTGTCGAGAAGCTTTGCCAGCGTTTTCGGCTTTCGGAGGACCCCCGTCAATGGCGCGATATCGCGTACTGCTTGTCGCTGCTCCCATTCAAGTCAGATCGCTCCGTCAAGAAACTCGTCGAAGGCTTGCCCTTCTATCGCGACAAACTCCACGAGGAGACAGTCTTTGCCAGATTCCAGGAGATACTGACCAAGGTACATCCCTGTCGTTTCGCCGTCCGCATGCTCATGCTGATTGTGATCCCGTAGGCACGACAAAACAAATCCGCAAACAAACCGGATGCGGAACTCAACGAGTTTGAAGGGGTACATCTCGAGTTTCCTGCATATGTTGTAAATAACTCGCTCATGCATATACACCCGCGCAGATCCTGGAAGAAAGCCGACGGCAAGGCGCCGAAGATCAAGACTTTGAGAGAAACGTCCAGACCCAGAAGAACGTCGCAAAGAAGCGGGCAGCAAGACGAAGTAAGTTTGCACCTTCCGTTGCCTACAGCCTAATCGCTGACCCAGCCTCCTAGCACAACGGAAGAAACCAGCGGCGACTCAGCACGATGACTCGGACTGATTTCGGATACGACCTCCCATGTCCCTCGTAACGACGCTGGTAGCTCTCATCGTGTGTATGTATGTTGCTTTGGATTTGCATTCCCTTGTATTCCCCCTGTACATCAGCATAGGTAGTACATTATATACTGTAATAAAGTCAATCGGGATGGTGTGCAGAAAGCAAACGCTGGAAAAGAAAAACTCCTTGCAAAGCGAAGGTCCGAGATGGAAGAGACTAATGAGAGAAAGTAAACCATAAGGAGAGTGGGCAGCACGGCCCGCATAACGGGCGAGCTCAAGGTACCATGAAAGACATCGACAATAGTAATTAAGGAGAGTGGACGCGGGCAAGGACGACTGGCGGAAATATGACAACATACCGACCTACGGATACCAACTGATGCATGATGCAGGTGGGGGAAGTAGCTGGGGGAAACGTATAGTGGGGTATGCGCGTAATAGGATATGATGACTGAAAGATGACGCTAGAGTGCTACACGTGAGAATTGCAGATTGCGAGCGTGACCAGTCCAACGATACTCTAAACACCGAACCGCTGCGACGACAAATATAGAAAGCCAATGCACGAGAAAGAGAGGAGAAAGAGACACTAGAACAACGTTTACTCAGATTTAAAGCGAGCGCCGCCCTCACCGCCGCGCATGACCGCCTTCATGAAGGCGAAAAAGCGGCCAGCGTATTCGGCCGGAGGGACGGGGCTGATCTTGTGCTGAAACGCCAAACGAATGATCAGCACCGGAGCCAGAGCAAGGCACGATGAATCACATACCCTATCGGCACTGAGCCCCTTCCAGAAGTGCTCAAGCTTTTTAAAGGCACTGTATGGCGTGAGGATGTCGATGACGCCGAGGTAGTATATGACGTCCATGTTCTCGTTCGCCTCATCCGTTGCACGCAAGCCGCCCTCATCCTGGTAGAATAGGAAATGCTGTCGCTCGCCGGTGTCTTCTTCAGGAAGGTTCAGCGCAGCCCCGAGCTGCTGTGGGTCCGCCTCGCGCATGATGCGGCGCATCGCGATCGCCTCCGGCGATTGCGGTCCTTTGCTGACCGTCTTCTTTCGCGATATGAGGGGCATATCCGGCTACACCGCGTGTGCGTTGAGGGGAGGAGATGCGGATCGAAGTCGTAATGACTCACCGAGAAGACTTTGAGCGTATTCCTCCGGACGTTGTCCCGATTCCCCCTCTGCATTTCGTGGATGCCCACAAGCAACGAGTAATCCATGACACCCAGCTCCTTCAACAGCTCCGAGTCTCTCCTCAGCTGCTCCGTCAGCAACGCCCGCTTCTCCGGACCTAGCTCCAACGTCTTCCCGCGCTTGATCCAGTTGAGATCCTTCAAGACGGCGCGCGGATTCTTCGCAGCCTTCTCTTCGGGGTACTCGCGGCCAACGGTCGACCCCTTGAGGTCGTACGTCTCGTGGATATCCTTGTGCGCGGGGAAGAGGTTGTTCATGATGACGAAATGAATCTTGCGCCCGTGCGGGAGCTTGACGCGGTGGAGTCCGTAGAAGCGCGAGATGAGCGTGTGCGGATTACTCTTCACGTGCTCGTAATACTTCTTTAGGATCCTCCGCAAGTACTTGTGCTCGGAATGATGGATCGTCTTGATGATGAAGCGGTAGTCACGAGAGAAGTAGAAGAACGATCCGGACTTGCCGGGAGAACCAAGTTCGGAGAGGATGTACTTCGCAGTTAGCGACAGGAGGTAGTCTGCGGGATCGAGGTGGAAGTAGTCTTCACGTAGTTCGCGGAATACCCAAGGCGCGTAATCCTTGAACTTGAAGTCGTACTTGGCGGAGGGTGTCAGCTCGTTACCGACGCTGTTCGAGTGTCAGTCCGCGGTTCAACGTAAACACAACGACAAGCGACACGCACATATCGAAAGAATATTTATGCCGTGCCGTATAATCCTCATCTGTAAGCGGTCTCCGTATCTTTGCTTGACATCGCGATACCTGTGAACGTTGACGACCGGCGCCAACCGTCAGTCCACCTATCGCAACTTAGACACGAACGTCCACACTCACTGCTATCCGGATGCCCGTCAGCATATTATACATCAACACATAGTTGACGTGGTCCTCCCCAATCAAGTTTCCCACCAACGGCCCATCGCCCACCCTGCTCGCGATGGTCGCACTCCGGGTCAGCGCCCGCTCTGCCTCCTGCTGCGCCTTGACGCGCTTCCTCTCCCTGCGAATCTGCTCTGCCTGCTGCTCGATGTCATCGGCGAGTTCCCCAACATCCTCGAACGCAGCCGGGTGGGCCGAGTGCATCGTCGCCATGCGTGCCACGCGTGGAGGAGAAGACTGCAGCGCAGATGACGGAGCCCCGGCGCCGATGGTATTGCGCCTCGAGGGCCGGTGCGGGGTGGGAGGCTGGAGGTAACCATCGACAGAGACGTGTGGACCCGCTCCGGAAGCGGAGCCGGCGCTGCGTGTGGGAAGGGACTTTGAGAGCGAGGGAGGGATGATGGATGGTGGCTCGTCTGTAAGGGGCGTGTCCAGGGTGCTTTGTGCGTACGCAGACTGGGACGTGCGCAGCGAGGACCGCGTCTCAGCCGAGGAGCGGTGTCTTAGGCTGTGAGCGCCGAATCGCGAGCGCTGCTCCCGAGACGAGGACGATACGCGTTCGACAGCGATGGGTTCCTCGAACGTCACTGGAGGGGACCGGGGCGACGCATCAGGCTGGGAGGTGGATGCTGATGAAACATTAGCGAGTCTACGCGAGGGTGGAACGTCGCCCTCGACACTAGAGGGAGGGGAGGGTGGGGGAGGACCATAGCCAGAGTCGCCGCTGCCTTGGCGGTGGTCATGAAAGGCGGGGACGTGTTGTGCGAGGACGGCGCCGACTTTGTGGAGGACGGGATCCGGTACGAGGCCCTTTTCGAGCTTGACAGCGTCGTCTGTGACCTTGAGGATGTGGACTTCCTGACTTGGTGTCTGCTTTCCAGCGAAGGCGAGGGTGTGTATGGGGTTCAGGTCGGGCTCTCTGGGTGGGGAGCTCGCAGCGAGCATGGAGGAGGCTCGTGAAGAAGAAGAGACAGAGGCAGGCGAGGCAACAAGATGGGAGTGGGCTGGAGAGGAGGAAACATACGTCGAGCGTCGAGGATCGTCAAAGGATGCTGGAGACGAAGTGCGTGCTATCGGAATAGCGGTGGCCATGTGGGAGGTGGGTGAAAGATGGTATAGGCGTTCAAAAGATTAGATGAGAGTGAAGATATATCCTGCTTCGTCGTCGCCGGCGTTGTCGACGAGGAGGATGTTGTGGTCGACGTGAAGTCAGAGACAGAGACGGTGGCCGTTGTCGACCCAGGCCCCTGCCCCGCGCTAATAATACTTATCCCATTTCGATAACGTCCAGAATGGACTTGGTCGACAAATTCATTCCTCCTCCCTTCCGCCAGTTTTTCCTCCGGCGCAATCGACGTTCTGTCCCAGCCCGACTCAGGCCGCATCGTGCATTCAGTTGCGGTACGAACAATCCGCACAACAATTCCGACGAAGCAAGGCTCCCACACCGTCCACACCCAAACCAGGCAGGAGACGCCCAGATAAGCCGTGTCGGGACATGCCCATCCGTCGACTCCGCGGGTCGACATCCGGTCGCTGATGGGGAGCTCCATGTCATATTTGCTTATCCCAGCACTCACCCCCGTGTTCCAAGTATGCAAGTACTCGGTCTCAGACGCCCTGGTCCAACAACTCGAATCGTCCTAGACATTGGCAACGGAACAACAGCGATGATGGACCATTAGGATGACTGAGAACCATCACCTTTGGCCAAGGGTGGTCTTCCTTGTATTCCAGACACCTCTGCACCGAGCGGCGTGCGCCCACCCGACCGCGCAGCACAGTCGAGGCAACCATGAGAAAACCATCGGATCAGCATAAGTACGTAGAGGTCTCGCCGATTCTACCCGTAGCATCGCTGTTAAATGTACGTCTACATCTTGAGAGACCTGTAGCGAAGGCGCAAGGTACTACTGCGGCAAGTCGAGCCTTAGCTTCAACGTCGGTACATGGTGCGTCGAGTTCACCTCCAGAAAGCCTGACGTTTGAGCATCTCGTGTTCGATGGCCAGCGGACGGCGTGCCGCCAGGTGTGACGACGGCGAGATGGGTGCGTAAGCCGCGGGCCACGCCAGAGGCTCCTCCTGCGCGCGGAGACTATGTACTCGCCCAACGAAGAACGCGACGAGGCTTGTCCCATCATCGCCTCTCGGGGCATTCACGACTGAGCCTCATCTACGTCGACGTGAAAGATACGTCCACCCACAAGGCTCCCAGTTGCAACAGTGCGGGTGCGGATTACATAATACGGCAAGCTGTGCAGTTCTGCGCTTTGTCTATCGTTGTCACTCGGAGCTCGCGTAGCCTCTTGCCCTTGGGCCTTACTCAGCCCGACCACGGTGAAGACCGTCAGTGTTAAGAGCCTGAACACTCGTATCGTTTTCCGTCAATGCGCAGATATCCGGACGCAACCCCTGTCAGTAGCTGGAAAGTCAAGTATTCGGGCAAGAGCTCCGACGCTTCTTCTTCTTCTAGATCCCGTTTATTGCCCTGCGAGGCCGAGCCTCATGGTAGGCAGTAAATACATTGTTGTCTACTTGGGTGATGATGGAGGTCGGCGGGACATAGTTGAGCAGGATGCTCATGCAATCTAAGGGTGTGTGGTGGGAGAGATGTCGATGAGGGATGGTGCAAGGGGATGTGCCAGGGTACAGACAGGGGCGAGAGTGAGACGTTCGAGTACGTAAATGGTGTGGAAGGGGGCAGGGCTCAGGAAAGGTGCGTTGCGGACGTCCGCCCAGTCCCGGCCATTTAAGGCAAGGGAACGGGCTATAAACCTGCGGCCTTTGGGTGCGGTTGCGCCCCTGGGTCTCGCCTCTTGCGCCGGTCAGGTGTACGTCTGGCGGTATCCCCGCCATCCGTCAGAACTCCCCCGCCCTACGAGCGGCGGGCGCCGCCAGCGCGACA